TACTAATGTTTTATCTTTAGAAGAACCCTGTTTTTCATATAATTTTATGTACATTACTAGGGTTGGGCGATGTTGACCAATTTGGCATTGTACGGTGTCTAATGTGAAACATTGCGATGGATGATGTTATCGTCGTCATAGGCGGAAGTTAATTAATTATTTATTTAAGAATAATTAATTAATTCATAACGAATTTATTATTTGTAGCCTACCATTTCAACTATCGGACCCACATGGTCTTTGTTTTTACTCATAAACAACTTTTTATGATAACAATTGTGTACCTCCATTTCAATTGTACCATCAAAGGTACAGAGCAGTCTCAGAGGTATTTTCTGTACCATATAGGGTGCAACTTTTACAAAAATACAAAACTGTTCCTTAAGGGACATTATTTGTACCCTGTGTACCTTTTTTCTGAAAGTGTTTCATTATCATAAACGCAAATGAAAACATTAGTTTCTGACATAAAATGTTCTAAATTGCAATATATACAGTTGAAGTCATAATTATTAGCCCGCCCTTTGAATTTTCTTTCCTTTTTGAAATATTTCCCAAAGGATGTTTACCAGAGCAAGGACATTTTCACAATATGTCTGATAATATTTTTTCTTCTGGAGAAAGTCTTATTTGTTTTACTGCGGCTAGAATAAAAGCAGTTTCTCATTTTTTAAACACCATTTTAAGGTCAATATTATCAGCTTCTTTCAGCTATTTTTTTTCCCGACTGTCAACAGAACAAACCATCATTATACAATAACTTGCCTAATTACCCTAACCTGTCTAGTTCACCTTATTAACCCAGTCAAGCCTGTAAGTGTCACGTTAAGCTGTATAGAAGTGTCTTGAAAAATAACTAGTCAAATATTATTTACTGTCATCATGGCAAAAATATAATAAATCAGTTATTAGAGATGAGTTAATAAAACTATAATGTTTAGAAATGTGTTGAGGAAATCTGCTCTCTGTTAAACAGAAATTGGGGGGAAAATAAACAGGGGGTCTAATAATTCAGGGGGGCTAATAATTCTGACTTCAACTGTGTATTTAAAAAAAATTAAAGAAATTGGTTTTGAACGACAGGATTTAATTTTTAGTTTGATATTCGGTGAATATTTAGCCGTTATGTTTTTTTTTTGTTTATTTTTTTATTAGTAATTTATTTTGCTTTTAGTTTGTGATGGGTAGAGATGTAACGGTATCAGAATTTCACGGTACGATAATACCTCGGTATGAATGGCACTGTACGGTATTTATTGAATAATTTTCAGGAAAAACAAAACTAATGAAAAGACTAAAAAAAAGTGCCAAAAGTGTTTATTTACCTTAGCACTCAACATATCAATGACATACAAATTAGCATTAGAAAGAAACCGAAATGCTTCCACACATCCAATTTAAAACCCGCTTTAGGTTCGATCATTTCCAGCTCTTTTTCTTCCCCGCTACTAGCAGCACACTCCATTTCCGCATTACTGGATCTGTAGTGACAACAGACCGCAAAGGATGATGGCCATTCATAGGCTGATGGGAATTGTAGTTCCCGCTACCTCCCGTTTGCTTCATTCCCCTAAGCAAACTTTTCTCAGAAATATAGTTTTATTGAGTCATGCGCCTACGGTAATATTGAAAAAAAATTACTATTGCGGTATGACGGACAATATTGTTACATCCCTAGTGCTGGGCAAAGATTATATCCCCGGTTAGACACACAATTTTTATTGTCTGTTACAATTGTCGCGATGTCAGATTATGCGAATTTGTTTCCTTGATAAAATCTTGCCTTGTTGTGGGTAACAAATGTGCCAGACTACGCATTCCTTCACGATCAGCTTTCGCGTGATGTCTATGACGAGCATCACGATTAAGCCCCGGTCAGATTACACAAATTTGTCATGAATTCGGCACTATTTTCTTGACGTAGGGTGTCGTGGGGATTCGCAAACGCATGTGTTTGGACTGTGAGGGGAACCGGAGCACCCGGAGGAAACCTACAACAACACGGGGAGAACATGCAAACTCAACACAGAAATGCCGACTAACCCAGCCGGGGCTTGAACCAGCGATGTTCTTGCAGTGAGGCGATTGTGCTACCCACTGTGCCACTGTGCTGCCCTATTTTATTTAATTTCATTCATTTTCTTTTCAGCTTAGTCCACTTATTAATCTGGAGTCGCCACAGCAGAATGAACCGCCCACTTTTCCAGCATGTTTTACACAGCAGATACCCTTCCAGCTGCTACACATCACTGGGACACACACATACACACTTATTCACACACATACATGGGGAGAACATGCACACTCCACACAGAAATGTCAACTGACCCAGTCGGGACTCGAACCAGAGACCTTCTTGCTGTTAGGCGATCGTGCTTCCCACTGTGCCACCGTGCCGCCCTATTTTTTTTTCATTTTATTTTATTCATGGCTTTATTTTATTTAAATGCACCTTTTACGTTATTACTTTAATTGCACATTACCTGAAACAACACACCAATATATGAATCAGTATAATGCTGATCACAATCTCCATCTACACACAATCAATCCAGTCCAGATGGAAGCCGATTTCACCATGCTTTCTATAAATTTCCCTCTGAACTCTTTCATACAAATGCAAATAACCATCAGCGGCCCTTTATATGCTCTGGGTTGCCTAAGCAACACTGTCACCTCTCGTTTCCTCAGTAATGGATGAGCGTCTGCATGTGTGTTTTCTGCTGGTTTGGAGTCTCTAGTGGACAGTTAACTAACTAGCAGCTGTGTGTGTGTGTGTGAGGAGGTGGGCGGTGATGAGGATGAGACCCGGTCATTTCAGACGCTCTCACAAAACATCAAGAACCCTCAGACACAAGAGCTGCTCCTTCAGCTGTAGCAGATTTATGCTGCCCATTCATGTCTTCAAGAATCAAGAACAGATTATCAGATTCTTTTAAGCAGTCACTCAGTTAATTCATTCATTCATTCAACATTCATTCATTCATTCATACAATCACTCATTTAATCATTCATTTGTTTGAACATTCAATTATTCATTCAATCTAAACATTAATTCATTCAATCACTCAAACATTCATTCATTCATTCATTCATTCAGACAGACAATTACTCATTCATTCAGTCATTTATTAATTTAAACATTCACTCATTCAAACATTCATACAATCACTTACTCATTCAATCATTCATCTATTCAAACATTTATTTTTTCTTACATTTATTCATTCAAACATTCATTCATACAATCACCCATACATTCGTTCATTCAATAATTCATTCAGTCAATTAATAATCTAAACATTCATTCGTTCAAGCAAACATTTATTTGAACATTCATTCATTCATACAATCACTCAAACATTCATTAAAACATTCATTCAAACACTTCATTTATTCAAAAATCTAAACATTCATTCATTCATTCATACAAACACTCATTCATTTATTCATAAAATCACTAATTCATTCAATCATTCATTCAACCTAAACAATAATTCAATCAATCACTCATTCATACAATCACTCATTCATTCAATCTTTCATTCATCTAAACATTCACTCATTCAAACGTTCATACAATTACTCATGCATTTAATCATTCATACATTTAAACATTAATTTATTCAAACATTCATTCATTCAATCAATCATTTATTCATTTATTTTAACACTCATTCATTCAAACATTAGTTCATTCTTTAACCCAAACAAACATTTATTCATTCATTAACTCAAACACATATTCATCCATTCATTCATTATTTTCTTCAGACATTCAGTCATTCATTCAGGCATTAATTAACTCAAACATAAATTCATCCATTCATTCATTATTTTCTTTAGACATTCAGTCATTCATTCAGACAATAATTAACTCAAACATAAATTCATCCATTTAGACATTCAGTCATTCATTCAGGCATTAATTAACCCAAACATAAATTAATTTGTTTATTCATTCATTCAAACATTTGTTCTTTTCTTTAGACATTTATTCATTCGTTCATTTTAATATTCATTCATTAACCCAAACATTCATTCAATCATTAACTCAAACCTATTCATCGAATAATTCAAACAAACATTCATTCATTAATTCAAACATTCATCCATTCATTCTTTCCCATAGACATAGGATTCAATCATTCATTCAGACATCTATTCATTAACTCAAACAAACATAAATTCATTCGGTCATTTATTTATTCATTCATTCAGACATTTATTAACCCAAACATTCATTCATTACATCAAACATAATTCATTAATTCAATTCGTTAATTCAAATTAATTTGTTAATTCAAACATTTATCCATTCATTCTTTCCTTCAGACATTCATTCATTCCTTCAAACAGTTTTCATTAAAATATTCATTCATTCACTCAAACAAACATTCATTCATTCATTAACTCAAACAAACAAATGTATTCATTCATTCAAACATTCATCTATTCATTATTGCCTTCAGACATTCATTCAAATAATAAATCGTTCATTCAGACATTCATTCATTCATTCATTCATTAACTCAAACAAACGTACAATTATTAATTCATTAATTCAAACATTCATTCATTCATTCATTCAAATATTCAATCATTTATTTTTTACATTCTTTCATTCATTAACTTAAACATAAATGCATCCGTTCATTCATTCATTAATTCATTCATTCATTCATTCATTCATTCAAACATTTATTTATTACTATTACTATTACTATTTATTACTATTTATTTGTTACACTATTAACTAAATTACCAATATTGGCCAATAATCAATATGGTTCAGATATATTGTGCATTCTTTTTTCCTTTAGTAATTTCTCAGGTTTATTTGTTTAGCATTGCACTTGTCATCAGAATAATACTTTTCCTCAGTCACTATTTATGTTCGTACAGTTAGTTATTCAAAGCAAAATAACACACATTTCTAAGGAGGGCCAATACATTTTGTCAAAATAAACTAATCTTGTTTTCTTCTATTCCCCCATCAGACATCCTTGATTTAATGGGTCCAATCATTGAGATGTCGCCGGATAAGAAAGCGGAGTCTCCGGGCGTGCAGGCGGAGCTCTCATGTCTGCGTGGCGTGTGTGTGTCACTGCCCGAAGCCGAATGCGCTGCCAGTCCTATGCCCACCAGCCTGGACCGCAGCTCCGCAGACGAGGAGCTCACCAACCTCAACTGGCTCCATGAAAACCTGCTCCAGAACTTCACTCTCGGCGGCACTGAAGCCCAGGCCAGCGCCGGCCCGCTCCTGGACATTGAGGGAAATCACGCAAACGCCATCATTTCATCCGCAGCAGCACACGGAGAGGATTCAGTGAAATCCAAACCGCCCTTCTCTTTCTCTCTGCTCATTTATATGGCGATTGAACAGTCACCCAGCAAATCTCTGCCAGTGAAGGACATCTACGGCTGGATCCTGGAGCACTTCCCATATTTCTCCAGTGCCCCTACTGGATGGAAGAACTCGGTGCGACACAACCTCTCGCTCAACAAGTGCTTCCGCAAGGTGGAGAAGAGCCTGGGGAAGGTGAGCGCTTCTTTTAATAAGATGTAAAACAAGTCTCTGATGTCTCTAGAGTGTGTGTGTGTGTGTGTGTGTGTGTTTCAGCTCAAAATACACCACAAATAATGTTTTATAACCCTTTTAAACTGCTGCATTTAGGCTTTGATCCTTATTGTGTAATTTTGGCGACTGTCGCTTTAAATTCAAATGAGATTGCTCATTTTTTTAAAAGAGGGCGGAGCTACAAAGCATATGTCTCAGCATAGTGGCAGATTCATAACAGGACTAATCTCATATGCTAATGAGGGTGAGATGGTCACCGGTGGGCGGGGCTTTTCCCCTCTGATGAAACAAACATAGGGAGAATGTCAAGCAAAGTGTTTCTGCAGTCTGATTATCCACCTTATTCTCTGTGTACAAGCGGGTGCAGCCATTCTAATAATTTTGGCACGAGACATCCGGTCTCATTTACTTACTCAT